TTTAGTTCAACTCGGCCTTGTACTTGAAATTATTCTTTATGCTGACTCATCATCTTTTCCCTATCAGAGATTGCCACATGTTAGCTTTAAAATTATGTATTTATCTTTTAAAATTTTGTTAACATCTCAAAAGAAAATAAAATTAAATATCGTTGAGCTTATAATTTGGAATAAGTTTTGAAAACTGTCCTCTTAGTTAAGATTTACGTATAAAATAGATAAAGGACTAAAATCATCACAAATTGTGTTGACTAATCTTTTTTGGCTGTCCTTATACTTGAGGAAACTAATAGATGTAATTAATATTTTTGTTCAAATATGTATTTTCTTCCAGATATATAAATGCAATTTTGTGTATTTAGTCAAACTACTTTATAAACTCTATAAACCTTTTTGCTAACTTTTATTATTGTTTTTCATCACAATCGTTTTCTTTCACTTTCCAATAAGAAGGTAGTATGGAAACCCTTCAAACTTTTTGCAAAATGAGCCTAAGAAAAAAATAATAATAAAGAAATTAAAAAAAAAAAAGTTAGGTTTTGCAATTGTCCCTCTATTTTTAGGAATAATCCTTTTCAGTGATAAAGTTGTTGGAATATGATATTTGACCTAACTATATACCAATCTCTCATAAATGATCAACTTGCAATTGATCCGTTTTATAGTGCATGAGATTGCAACTTTGTATACTAACCCAGAAAAACAAAAAATTGTAACTTGAATTTTTATGAATTTAAAGAGTTTAATTAACTATTTATAGAATCATAAATTCTTCATACTAATAAAATTACTTTTGGATCGAATCATTTAAATTGAAAGGAAATTTTGGTGTATATAAGATAAGACATAAGAGGGGAAAAAGTGACCCAAACCCAATAGGATTTGGGTATGTCACCCATGAGACCAATAAAGAGAATGTTGGATCATAATATAAAAGCCGCAATAGGAGAAAATAAAATTCCTTTATAAAGGAGAAATTAAAAATGAAAGATTTTATTTTTGAGGAAAATAAAAGTCATTTTAATTTTCCGATTTACTCTTTAAGAAAAGATCATTATTGAGAAAAAGATAAAGTTTTTTCTCTTTTAAAGTAATTATTTAAGTAAGACGGAACTACTATTTTCGAAAGATTATATAAATAAAGACCCTTAATTTTAATCCAGCTTAACTAAAATTTCAAGAGTTGCACGTCCGAATGTGAGGGATCCTGAGACTATGGAAGAATGATCAAGAAATGTTTAAAAGAATTGATAGTCACTGTCTATACCAACAAGGTACACCTTCCTTTTCGGTGGCTCCATCGTAAGAACTCCAAAGTTAAGCGTGCTTGCATGCTGGAAGGACTCGTGTTTTACAGCTGAGCTAGGTTCGCTTTAGTTTATTTAAGGTTTTTTTTTTAATTTTTAAATGTACCCTTACAAGTTCCAAATCTTTTTTATTCCAAAATAAAGATTTTCTCAAGAATTGATTCTAAAACAAACCCAGGAAATAATTTTGGAAATTAATTGAACCCTAAAAAAATTTTCTCTTCTCTTAAAAAAAGATGCATAAAGGAAAGTGCAATGAGATGAATCGTGTCCACTTTATTTTCTTGGCCATCACTCTTAAATTCTATTCTCCATCATGAGAGAGGGTGATGGAATAATATGAGTGCCCAAAATTTGTCATCTTTTTAAAACCCCACTTTTCCAAAAAGAAGAAAATGTTCATTTGGTCTTTCCTTTACCAGCTTATCAAATCTAGGCCTTATTACAAACCATGGCAAAACACCATATGAGTTGCTTCCATGGCTGTCCCCCCTCCCTCTTCAACATTATCAAACCCTAATTTCCTACTTCCCTAACTCTCAAATTAGCTCTTAATTATGACGGTGGGACAATGTAGATTAGAAATCCATAATTGTCGATATGTATAAAAGAATACTGCTAAACGGTCAATACCCATCTCTGTGTTAGACTCACTAATAAAAATTTGACAGGTTTTTAGTTTTTTTAAACGAGGGAGAATATATAATTTTTTTTAGAACTAATATATATTTCTTTAATGAGTAAAAAAAATGTGAATGTTGAGTAACGCACTTAAAAGTATATTTTTATTTAGAATACATTTTATAATTTCTCTCTTATATATCTGGCTATAAAAATTGGCGACTTTGTTCAAAAAGATTAAAAATTTTAACTCAAATTAAATAAAAAGTTTTGTTTTGCAGCAATATACATTTTGTAATTTTTCCTCTTATACATTCATCCCAATAAAGTGGGCGGCCACATTGTTTTAACCTTTCCAAATAATTTATCAACAAAAAAATTATTAAATATCCAATATATGAATTAAACTTATCCAACTCATAAGAGTTGTGACTGGTTCATAGGATTCTCCTACTTATCACAATTAAAAAATTAACGACTAGGCTGATTAATAATTATTACGTTTTTTAGTTTTTTTTATTTTTAAAATTATGCTTTTTTCTTTTTTTACAAATTTCATTAGTAAACTTTTCACATCTCTCAAAGATACATATTTAAATTCTTAACCAAATTCAAAAACAAAAACTACATTTTTAAAACTTACCTTTTACTTTCAGTCTAGATTTTGAAAGATGTTTATAAAAGGTATATAACAAAACAAAAAACACAAAGCAACGTTTTCAAGCCAAATATCAAAACAAAATAGCCATGAGAGCCTAAGAGATGAATGCCTAAAGAAATAGACAAAAATAAATTAAATTAAATAGTTGTCAATTTTTTCATAGCGTTGTTTTGTTTCTATCCATCGGCTGGTTTTAATTAAATAAAATTTAAAAAATACACACATATATATATTGGAATTGAAAAAGGTGTAATAATAATAAAATGTAAATGTAGAAAAGACAAGGAAAAATACAACACCCAAATTGGTCACTGAAAAGTCAGAGATGGGTCTGAAAATTTTGGTGGCGAAAACAGACAATTGGAACACAGTCACACGCTCCTCACTCCTACTGCTACATTAGATTAGATTCCTCTCCTTCTCTCTCGACTCTCTACTTATCCTCATCATGACGCCGCCGCTGCTCAAGCTTTTTCTTCTGCTGGCGGTGGCTTTCCCGCCGCCCGCCGCCGCCGCCGCCTCCAGTGAATTGGAAGGCGAG